ATTTCAACATTTACTCTCCCAGTTCAGCCCCTTTGCAAAGCATGATGGGAAGTGAAAATCATGTTTGATTGAGTCCTGGGGCCTGTTTCATAAAACAAGTTTACCAAATACGGAAGTCTTCATATAGCTCCCTGTGGTTGTGTTCCAGATGACTGTGGAGATTAGTTGTATTTTTCCTCTCGATGACCACAGTTTTTCGGCACGACTCACACAGTACCTGCGTTTGTGACACATCTTCTCTCTTGAAGCCGAAATATTGCCATAGTTCAGACGTACAGTTCTTTTTAGACACAAGTTCTTCGCTGCTGTCCTTTTCCTCGCTTGTCTCTACTCCTGCCATATTTATTTTCCACTCACTGCTCTGAGCCACTAGGTTCACCTATGGGCCCGGTCTATCCAATAGCATAATAGCACCTACTTGGGAGGCGGGTATAAAGATAGTAAGGTCCCATCTGATTGGTCAAATTTGGACAACCTATGCATGCAACACACAAATCCTTAGCACATAAAATAAATTAAATTTATCGCAACTCTCTGCGATACGGATATCGCATACACTATTATCGCGATAACGATAATTTTTCGATATATCGTGCAGCCCTACATTCCAATAAACGTCCTTTTCCGTTGGCAGAGACCCTTACACACCTCCCAAAACACATCAGAGGCAGTGCTCACCCCAATTCCAAAGAGGTTAGCAACATCATGGAATTCAATGTTACTTGCTATCTTGTAAAGTGTCAGAGCAACTCTTTTTTCCAAACTCACTGTGATCTTCATGCTTTGCTTTGGTATGTAAGGACGAAGAAGGTCACAGAGATTTAAGAAGGCCTCCTCTGGCATTCTGAAGTTGAGGTACCACTCAGTTTCCCCAAAATTCTGCAGCACATCTGTCTCCCAGAAGGTGCTGGTGCGCTCCTTAGCACTTGGTGCAGTTGTCATGCTATAAACTATATAAAAGTACATTTCAGGAATATAACTTAAAAACTCCCATTGAACACAATTTATGAAATTTGATCAAATGTATTTTGAAATTAAGTACTTTTACATTTAAGCACTTTGAAATGTAAAGTAAAACGTCCTAACTTACTTAGTGTTTTGTAATAATTTTATAAAAATTGTAATTTAAAAAAACTAAACATAAATTTAACATGATGATTTTATAGAACTGGGTTCTTATAATAAACCCACTGGAATAAAAACGTTTTAACATATATAATTTACATGTTATGTAATTGAGTGCAGAAATTAAAGTAATCTTACCTGAAACTGATATTACAGTAGCCAGTCTGTAACGATCGGACTTATCGGCCGAATTACATGGATTTAAAATGGGGTCAGATTAAACTGTGTGAGATAAAATAAGTGCTTTAAAAAGATTAGACAACACATGAAAGTAATCTTGCCTGAAACTGATATTACAGTAGCCAGTCTGTAACGATCGGACTTATCGGCCGAATTACATGGATTTAAAATGGGGTCAGATTAAACTGTGTGAGATAAAATAAGTGCTTTAAAAAGATTAGACAACAACAAAAGTAGAATGAATAAATAGGTGTATTTACATAATGCACAAGGAACTTAAAACAACACAATAAAACTAGAATAACTTAGGCTGTTAAAAGCAGATTGTCCATTTAAATCGTACCCTAAAACAGTCCTTAAGAATCCCAGTGTGTTGAAGTCCCAAGGTAAAAGTGTCCACCGGTGTATATACAATCCAAAAAAAGTGATAATCCATAATGAGTGAGATACTGGAATGGTAAGTCCATGAACAACTCCACAATCCAGCGAGTAAGTTGTTTGGTCAATGACCCTGATTGTTTGACATGCTGCTTGCTTTGTACTGGTTTACTTCCTTATTCCTGTCATGTGATTGACCACATGACAGGCAGACCCATGAACATTTTAAAGACATACACACATCAAATAATTAAGAGGATTAAAATGGCTAAGACAACATGTAAAACCATTAAAACTCAAATATATAGATAAAAAAAAACATCTTAATATATATTGAGCGGTAAAAACATGTGTCTTTGTGTGGCAGTGTCACATAGTCCCCCCCCTTAGTCTATGACTCCCGGGGGAAGGAACTAACCTCTAGTCCTGTCAGCCATTGTCCCTGTGGTAGGTGTCCTTTTGAATGTGTGATTTAAAATGTCTTTGCAATAAATAAGTTAAAACTAGGCTTTGCCACACAGGCTCTAGTCTGCCGGAGGAATTTAGGCGAACACTAGAGAGAGGTTGAGTCCCATACCAGCCTGGGTGTCCTAAGGTAGGTGGCACCGATCCTCCCAGGATGACGTTGCACCCAGCCACGCTGGTCGGCCTGCCCCCCTGGCGTTTCCTCCAAACCGGCTTGGGGGTCTTTTTGATGGATGAACGGTGAGGTGGTTTCTGGTTAGGGGCGATGACGACACACTCCTTGGTCTCCACACCACACGACTTGCAGGTCCCGACAACCCTCCAGACTTCTCTGCGGATTGTGGGCCACCAGGTAACGTCCAGGATTTGAAGGAGGGTCTTTAGCCGTCCATGGTGTCGATCCCGGGTCCTCCGATGGAAGTACTGTATGGTCTGTAATACCAGGGACTTTGGGATGATGAGCTGTATCTTACAGCTGTCCTTGTCCTTCTGGATCCGCCAATACAGCAATCCGTGTTGGTCCTGCACGTAGATCCCGTTGGTCAGTGGTGTGGAGGGAGAGATGGTAAGTCCTTGCAGAGTGTCGTCATCTCCCTGCGCACTGGTGAGTTCCTCTCTGGAGAAGGGAAGGTGGGAGAATATGGTGGTAAAGTCTGGCCCGGCTGGAGAGGTGGCGCATGATTCTCCATCGGTTGCTCTGTTGACGGTTTGTGAAGTGGTTGAGGCAGTGGGAACGTTGGCCGGAGGAAAGCCAGGGGTCGACTGAGTGGCACTGGGCTAGTCGTTGTAGTAGGAAGGGAGATGGCAAATTCTGGCTTCCTGATCTGTTCCAGTTGTTTTGCCCATTTTTTGTCTCTCCTCACGAAACACTCGGTAACCTCTCTCCAGTGTTGCCACAGCGTCCTTTATACATTCCTCCATCTTGGCAAACTTAAAATCCACAGCCTCTCTAAAATACACTTCACGATTTATATTACTTTCAACAGAGTCTTTAAAATCCTTCTCCAGTTTTAAAACAAGGTTTTTAAGAACAGCCACCTCAGCGCGAAGCTTTACACATTCACATTGCTGTAAAACCTGTTCATCGTTAAAACCAGTAGATGTATTAAAAGAAGCAGCATTATTTTGTTTTGTTGTCATCTTAAAACACTTCTCTCAACACAGCTTTTAAAATATTTGAACGTTCCCCGTACGGGCCACCATATAAATCGTACCCTAAAACAGTCCTTAAGAATCCCAGTGTGTTGAAGACCCAAGGTAAAAGTGTCCACTTTCAAATGAGTGAGATACTGGAATGGTAAGTCCATGAACAACTCCACAATCCAGCGAGTAGTTGTTTGGTCAATGACCCTGATTGTTTGACATGCTGCTTGTTTTGTACTGGTTTACTTCCTTATTCCTGTCATGTGATTGACCACATGACAGGCAGACCCATGAACATTTATGCAATTCAATATATTTTTATTGCACTTCAAATAAGCATGTTGGGAATACAAATGTATTATAAACATACTACTTGAATTTCAAGTATATTTTTAATACATTTAATACTACGTCTTTTTCACCTGGGTAGTCATAAATATTTCTCTTTTGAGCTGATTTAGGTAGGCGTGGCTGACTCTTAACTTTTATAAAGAATATCTCTTTGGATTTGAGACTTTAGTCTTTGCAACTTTACAGATCTTCTTTATGCACCAAGAGCTTGTAACACTCCAAAGAGAAAGGAAAAATTGAAATCGCATCATATGACCCCTTTAAAGACATACACACATCAAATAATTAAGAGGATTAAAATGGCTAAGACAACATGTAAAACCATTAAAACTCAAATATATAGATAAAAAAAACATCTTAATATATATTGAGCAGTAAAAACATGTGTCTTTGTGTGGCAGTGTCACAAGTCTTAACAGTTTAATGTAGACTAACCATGTTCCGTACACTTTTCGCCCTTCACCGCACGCCAGCGACCACTCCTCCGTTGTTGAAAGCCAGACAAGCATGTTTGTGTGATCATTCTCTGGGGGAATACCCATTGCACAGTCCACACTTTGATTGATGTCTTTTGGACCAATAGTTTTTGAGAAAAGTGGGGAAAAGTACCTCCGCACATGTACGGAAGGTAATAAGCATTAACGTGTTCCGTACAGGCTACAATGATGTTCCGTACAGAGCGCATACTTTGATTTCAACGACGAAAATTGACATTTAACGGATCAACTTTGAGCTATTTATTTATTTTAACTGAAGAAAACAACATTTCATTGAATAAGAAAGGTGAGTACCTTTCTATTTGTTTAAAATGTAAGTTATTTGCTGTTTTAATAAGCTAGAGGACCATGCGAGCTAGGCCTGATTGTGTCGTGATATTGATTATGGCATGTGGGTCAAGCATGAATCGTGTGAAAGGTTAGTGAATAACGTTACCATATCTTTCTGAAGACAAAGAAGGGCAAACAATTTGAACTGATTCAAAATATTTAATGATTAACCAATGTGAAAACTTCAAAACAAATGATCAGGATGCAGGTGTGTGTGTGTGTGTGTGTGTTTACAACTATTTACATTTAACACTAAACTGATTAAAAAATACCATAACTAGAAATTAACATGTTCATTTTCTGTGTGCACTATTTACATTGTGTGTGTGTTTTTATGTGAACAGACAACATTTATGGCAAAGCCAGTCAGTGTCTGGCACTTCCTCCACTTCTGCACACTCCGGAACCACAAATGGCACAGATCACACTGGACCCATTCATCAATGGCTTCATCTCCTGAGCCAGGTGGGACCACTCTACGGCAGAGAGCGCAGTGTTCTCCATTTTCAGTAGGAGGAGGTGCCTGATTCTTTTGCCTTTTGGCCTCCTTTCTTTTCTTCCTTCTCTTTCTCCTGAGTTTCTTTTTCTACCAGCAGGTCGAAGTACTCGTCGCTGGTGACGACACAGGCTGGCAACGGAATGCGACGCCTCACCTTCTCCTTCCTCTCCAGGGCTGGACTCATGAGGACATTAGCCAGACTCTCTGGGATTACACCTGCTGCCACCAGGTATTTTTTTGTGAGCCACTCTATTAATGTTACAGGTGGGGCAAGGTGTTTGAGTGATGATTGATGTGTCAGTAGGTTGAGTGATGGATGGTGTGGTGGTAGCGATAGATGGTGTGGCTGAAGGAGTGGCGGCAGGGCTGGATGGTGTGGCGTGGGAGCACTCTCACCACCTAAGAAAATAAAACGTATGTAAAACTCATTAACACACTTGAAAAGAAATGGAAGTAGCTTAGAGGATGAATTATCATTGTATTAATGTCAAAATTACCTGGGTTGTGTCCACAGCAGCCCTGGACAGAAGAAAGATGCCAGCCTTGAGGAACCCGGCCTTGATGTTTGGGGCTGTGACAGCAGTGGGGTAGATGTGTTTGAGGAGAGCTGAAAACAGCTTCTTCCCCACAACAATGTCCCCTCGCACCAGACCCATCCTGGAAGCCATGGTGGAGAAAGCAGTCTTCACACAGCAGTGGACCGTGATGTGCTCCCTGGTTGTCTGCTGCTGTTGATAGACATGTTTCCTTCCAGTCTGGCACAGGACCTTCTCCCTGGACCGAGGCTTGTCTCCAAAGCCAGTCTCATCACAATTATAGATGAGATGTGGCTTGTTCTCCAGCTTGTGCTTCACATAAAGGGCCTCGTACAATTTGAAGAATGCCTCAATGGCCTCCGGTGTAGCACCATGGACTCTGGCTCTGTCCAGGGAATCTGCCGTCCGTGAGGTAAATTCTGGATGTCGGGCCTTGAACCTGGACCACCACACATCACTCGGCCACTTCTCCAAATTCACAGTGGTGCTCTCGGTTCTGCCACTCTCCTTGATGATCTACCAATAGCCAGTATTTTGACTAGGGATCTAGTTACTGGGAAGCCATGGTCTGCCATCCAGAATATAAAGGAAAGGAGAGCCTCTTCCTCTCCAGGTGTCAGGGCCGAATTAGGATGAGGGTTGTGGACATATTTATTTTTTCTATAGTCCTGCAGAGTGGTGTGGGGAATGCCAATTTTTTTTGCTGTTTCCCTTAAACTTGCTCCTGCCTTTACTTCCTCAACTGCCTCCTTTAACTTCTCCTTTGAGTATTGTTTTTTCTTTCCTGACATCTTTCTTTTGCTTTACTGACTTTCCTTTGAAATATATGTTAATCATGTAACGTTAAGTTAACCTTAACTTCAAATGATGTTTATAAAATTGTTTATATTCAGAAAGTTTTGTAATTATATAAGTTAACTTGATGTATGAAATCTTATTAAATAACTTAAATGTCTGAATATCCTATCATTGTGTTTAACTTTAAGTTAACGTTAATGTTAAGTTAAATAACTTCATGAAAATTTGGCAATGAAATAACACAATCAATTGAGTTTCGGTTCGTTTAATTTGTTAAAGCATGACAATTAAACATGTTAAATTAAATTCATGTAAGTTAACGCTAACTTAATTGATCCTTTATGAATATAAACATCATCACTGCGCGCAGGATGATGGGCAAACAGCGTCTTCTGTCCGTCTCAGGCGGAGAGTGGCGCCAAGTGGTCATTGCCCACAATTGACTTTTAAATATTCCCATTTCAAAAGGTAATTTATTTAACAATTTGTGATAACATAATATTCATTTCATAAAGACTGTAATACTGTGAGAAGCATAAATTAAATAGAAATGTACATTTTCGCTGCTCTAATTGTCTCCCCACCCAAGCGGCAGTCTCGCGTTTAGCTTGCCCACTGTCCATTTTCAAGCGCAGTGGGCACACCTAGCAAACTTACTGAAATCTCACTGAAACAAATGGTGGGAGGGTCTCTGTCGTGATCGGGGGTGAAAGAGGGGGAAATGAAGATGACAC